GATAAAATGAAATAATATATATATTCTACAACTAGATATTGTTTATTTTATTAAGAAAATCTATATCTTTAAATATTTATATGTAAGAATATATTAAGTATAAAGTTCCAAAGCGTAAAATCTCAATTAATAATTTAATAAAAACTAATTACATGTCATCCTTTTCAAAATTGTAATAATAACAAGAAACTAAAGTAATTTTGATTTAAAAGATAAATGTGAGCGTGCATTAATTAGGTCATTAACCATTATAATTCCTTGCTACATCGTAATTAAACAGATTTATAAATTCATGAATGTCTAAATATGAAAATTAGATACGCAATATATTTCTTATCTGTAATAAAAGGATTAAGCACCCATTCATTTGATTGGATGGAGATTCTTTACACATTGATAAACAATAAATTTTCTTGCTTGTTTGCGAGCCAAGCCTCAAAGATTGCTAGCGAAGGACACAAAATGTGGTCTAAATAATTATTTTTGGGCCCTTCCAGACGGATAATGTTCTTTATTTTAAGACAGATAAACTTTGTTTTAAAACTTAAGAACAGTTATTTATATTTTGCTTCGCATTCATTTTCGTTGCAACTTGATGCCACATCGTGGTCAATATCACCCGATGTGGCTGCTTAATGCCATGTCGTGTTACTTCGTATATAGACTTGTTTTATGAACCATCTGTAAGAGGGAGCATTGTCACGTCAACGAAAACATAATTTCCTCGACTGATATTCGGGTGATATTGACTTTAGGATCAGATAAAGTTTTCTGCAGATTGCATAGACAATGACTTTTATAATAACAGATGAATGTGAATGATCATAAAAACACAACTTAGAAAATATTCAGCAACGATGAATTCTAATGCCATTTATAAATGTGAAAATACATCAAAACGAAGAAGAAAAAGAACGAACGAAAATAAAATAAACGAATTGGTAGTTACTTGTAGTACCAGATGTAATTATCGGCTACAGTTCTCTTCCTATGATAAACTTTGTACTTTGCTCTATTTATCAGAGGAAGTTTTGGTATTATCTGACAAAGCATTGAGAAATTCAAAAGACAAATATTTCAAAATTTTGAACAAAATATATTAATAATTTATATTTTCGCTTAAAATCTTAATAATTACAATACTCTATCTATATATACTATATAGTACAATAAAAAATTATACCAAATTATGGAAAGTTATACAAAATAATTATGACTTCAGATAATTCTGGAAGTAGGTAGTAGACGATCAAACTTAATCTAAGTAATTTTTATAAAAATTTTATACAGATTAACACACTTGATGGGCCAAAATGATACAGTATACATTTTATATTTGGAAAATTCAAAAATTATTTAACATAATTATTTCAATAAATTAAACAGTGAAATTTGCAGAAGTAATAATAAATTAAAATAATTTATTCTGTTAAGATATAAAAATTAAGTTTGTTCATAAAGCGAGAAAAAAATCCTTGTCAGAATATGTAACATAAAAAGTATGACTTTTCTAACATTTTGAAGCTTTACAGAGTTATATTTTTTAATATAGGCTAACCTTTAAATCATTTTCTGTTTTATAGATAAAGTTTTGATATTTTAATATATAAGTATAGTCAGACGTAGAGATTTCTGAACTTCATATCGCTATTGTAACATTGAATTGATTTTGGAATATAGAGCTTACACATTCAACCGATAAATCAATGCTAGTATTTCAGGCTCATAAAATGCTAAATGCAGTATTTCCTTCTAGATACAACGTTATCTGTAAATATATATATTTTGAAACTTCTTTCAAAATATAAAACATTTGTCTGTCTAAAAAATTTTTACAGCCGTCTTACATATTTTACAAACTTTTGAATTATTTCAAGCACAATAAATATCTACTTTTACATTCAACAGTTTTCAATTTTAAATAGCTTGAAGAAGAAAATTAATTTAATCAAGCGAGATTTTATTTTTAAATGCTGAAATTTAGAAAATCAAAAATAAATTTTCTATATTCCTGTATTAATTAATAAAAGTTTTTAAGTGGAAAGCATTTGAAATTCAATTTATATGTTTTTATTTGAACTAAAATCTTATATTTCAGATTATCAAAATACAGTACAGAATTTTTAGTTTGATGATAGATTTTTTTGTAAAGTAAAATGATAATCCATTTTACAATTCTTCAAGACTATTTTTTATGAAGTTCGACAATATTTCATTTCGTTTCCATAAATCTTGTCATTAAATTCGCATTCACTTAAATCAATACGGTTTCAGATCAAAAATCTATTTATTAACCATGATCTATAGACTTATAAGACATTACATGTATTCTGTAAATATAAATCTTATAAAATATTACGGTAAATTTTTTTTACTTTTACATTTGTAAATTTTAATTAAATTCTTCAGCTGAGTATTTTTTGTTCAAAAAAATATGTGGAATTATTAAAAACAAGACCGTGCATGGGGTGTTTTGGGCTTCTATTTTTGAAAAAATTTAAAAATTTGAATAAAATTAAACAGTATATATTTGTTTTGTACCGGTTCAGTTCCTCCTTAGTTTATTGCATTGTACATGTACAGTATATTATAAGAATTAATAAACTACATCATGAAAAAATAGTCTTTAAAAAGCCTGTGTACGGGTCTGCATGAAAATAACATTTAAATTTTTATTTAAAATTCAAATCTTTTTCAAAACAATTTATTTCAAAAATAGATTGATGTCTTTTATAAAAAACGTAAAACTACGTTTTAGATATTTAGATATTATTAATATACTTTTTATTTTGTTTATTTTAAGAAATTTGATTGATTGATTTATTTTTTAAGTACTTAAATAATGGCTTATAGATTTAGTAATCATTCTTTAATAACAATAAATAATCTCCAACTTAAAACATAAGCAGAATAAAGAAATTTTAAATGTATTTTAATTATATATTTTATAATTAAAGAAAGATTAGAAGTGATTATAGAATTTTATTTATTATGTAAGGTTTATGTCAATAATATTTCTGTAATAAGTATAAGAAATTCTTATTATAGAAGACTTATTATTATTTATTAAAGTCATAATAATCCAAAGAGCATTCTTATGGATTTTTATATTTCAAAATTTCTTTTCATTTGCTAAATCGAACAATCAGTACATAATTTGTAATTCAGTTTTCAGGAAATGAATTTTGCTTCCGGTGAATATGCATTAACAAGAAATAAAAATTTTCAGCCATTAAATAAAAATTTAAGTTCTGAAACTTTTTCCTTAAATTTTACAATGCAAATTTAACTTAAAATTTATTTCTTTTAAAATATTTTTGAAAATGTTTACTGAAGTTTCCATCTACTTCTTACGCCCTAAGATCTGATAAAATGAACTTTTCAATTTAAACATTTGTTTAATTTACCTTAGAAGTTTCCTTTAATTGAAAACTTTATTAATATTAAGAGGTTTATTCTATAAAACAAATTTATCTATTAGAAAGTTCATAATTAATAATCAATAAATTCTCTTAATTAATAATATTCAGTCTTCTTGAAGGTTGGCATATTAGATGCTAATCTAGATAATTTCACTAAACATTTATTGATTTTTCTAAAGAATGATACAAATAAATTTTTAAGTAAAAATTAAGTTAGAAAACAAGTTAACATTTTTGCACAGAACACCATTTAATGTTCTGTACTATAATAATATATTATTCACAGATTAGATCTAAGATATATTTCTTAATGTTAGATAAGTTAATTCATTTCTTTGGAATGAATCTTTTACCGTAACTATTTTTCATAATTCAAAAAGTGAAAGATATTTCTACTTGATGAAACCGAATTTATTTTTTATCGTTATCGTCTTTTTTATTTCTTTGAACTCGTTTTCAGAGTAGAACGACCTTTAATTGTCAACAGAAAGCTTACTTGTCAGATTTCTTCCGTAACTTGAAGAGCATTAAACTGAATCAAATTATCAGAATTTCATTGTTATACCATCCTTTTTGAATTATCGGTGACACTTCTTACAGTAAACAATTATTTCTTAAAATAAATACAGTATTATTCTATTTTTTTTTATTTACTTGTATCATTAGCAGATATTAAAACTAAAAACAAAGTAGTAAAGTTAATAAATATGTCTTTTAAAAAATACTAACTTTCTTATTTTTCTTCGATTTTATTAATTGTTTAGATTTCTTAAAATATTCAGTATTATATTATTATTAATTATAAATTTTATGTAAAANAATATATAAGTATAGTCAGACGTAGAGATTTCTGAACTTCATATCGCTATTGTAACATTGAATTGATTTTGGAATATAGAGCTTACACATTCAACCGATAAATCAATGCTAGTATTTCAGGCTCATAAAATGCTAAATGCAGTATTTCCTTCTAGATACAACGTTATCTGTAAATATATATATTTTGAAACTTCTTTCAAAATATAAAACATTTGTCTGTCTAAAAAATTTTTACAGCCGTCTTACATATTTTACAAACTTTTGAATTATTTC